TTGGACTAATTATTAGCTTAATTCTTTGTTGTTCCTTGCATGCATATATTTGTCTGTTATAAATGGAAAAGTTCATTGAATAAAAAGGTGCGATAAGGTTTACTTCATCAGATAGTGGTTACCTTATATGCAATGCATAAAGAAATTACACTATTAAATCATCTAAAAGATATTTATACGTAACACTCCTTAAAAAGTGAATTTATAATCTTGCAATAAGCAATTCACCTACTATAATAAGCAAAAGTGATTTGATAGGCTAAATGTTTTTACACTGTTAATTTGTATATTAAACTCTATATTCAAGCGTTTTTCCATTATTTATTGGTTATTTTTAGTATTATTCTCGTATTTCTTATTCTTAGACTTCTATTATCATCTTATGTTACCTCCGTTTCGATTTTGTTATTAGCCTGATGTTGTTGATGCTTCTTTGCTCATGTCTTCTTTGCTATCGTATTTCCTTTAAACTGTTATATTTTTGTTTTTCTTGAGCCGAGGGTCTATCGAAAACAACTTCTCTACTTGCACAAGATAAGGATATATAAGATCTGCGTATCGTTTTCAGACCCCACTAGTGAAATAATACGGGTATATTATTGTTGCTGCAAACTCTATAAAAAGATTAAGGAGCAAGTGGAAAGTCTACATCCTATGGCTTGTTCTCTAATTTGCATGCTTTCACGAGAGAAAACATTAGGAAAGACAAAGTGGGTGTTCCAAAGATGAACTTTTTTTTGGTTTATTAGGCATTTGATAGCAGCACGTAGCAGGTTGCTTATTGACTATTGTCTTTGTATTTGTTATCTAATTTGTTGCACCTACTTTTGTCCTTCTTGTTGTTTAACTTTTGCTTACCCACTCATCCTAAAAAATTCTCCGATCCAATAGATCGAATATAAAAGAAAAGAAAGCAGAAAGCATTTCTCTTTTATGTTTGCCTATGCTATGATTTGTGGATTCGCACGTCATAAGCATATTTAGCATTTAGAGTCATTGAGTTCAAAATGAATACTGTAATCTAATCTTGTTATATGTATATAATTTGATTCTCTTGTGTGCACATGTATATATAGTTAAGCCGAAGTCAAATATTCGTTCTTTGTTACATGCAAGTCTGTTATAAATTTTCGAAGATAAGATGATGATAGTAAGTATCTTTGAGAATTTTCGGAGCTAAATTGAATTAAAAAAATTTAATATTTAGAAGGTACTATAAGTTGCAAATTTTCTCTAAGTCAAAACGACGAAAAATGCGCGTGTTAGTCAAATTTTACTTATTTTGAATCCCCAAAAAGCGAAAACTGTCAAATATTCCGAAATAACGAGAATACTTTTTCACTCTTTCATATTCTTTTGGCCGTCTTATAAAAAAATTATATGTTGGAACGAAAGAATATCTATTACTTACTATGAAGAATAGTTTAACAACAATAGGATTGTTATAAATAGAATTGTATTTATGGTGAATGTCTATATTTAGAGAGATTCTAGGGTTCATTGCTTGGTGGCTAAGTCACCTTCTCCCTATAAATAGATGGTTCTATTCTATTATAATTCATCCCAAATCAATAAGAATTCTCTCTCCCTACTTTTCTCTGCAATACTCTTGTTCTTTATTTATTGTTTTATAACACGTTATCAGCACGGGACTCTAACCAATTGAGTAAAAACTTTGGGATTGAGCATAATGATTGTCAATTGTTCCATGAATTTCCTTCATGATTAAATTCTGGATTTAAGGTAAGTGTTTTACCATATTTTTTTCTTTTATTCTATAATTTGATTTTATATACAAGCAAAGACAACAAAGTTTGATTATAACTCTAATGGAGTTTGTAAGAAATTATAACCACCTGAAGTGGTAAAATTTCTATGTCTCGCCATGATCAAATTCATGTATGATTGTGGGCAAAGAATTGAAAACCCGTCCCATTGAATTTGCTCCATTCTCATTCCCTTAAGAGAATGTGATAGCAGTATGTGATAAGTCTGAAAGAAGATAAAATTATTACTATGAATGTATCAATGGATGTGGATGTGGCAATAGACAAAATTATAATCGTCATCATTGTGATAATGAGAATAATAAGGATTCTCAAAATAATCCTTCACTCTCTGAAAGTAATATTTGTCATCGATTTGACATGAGATTTTATAAAGCACATATAGATGATTATGGTCCATTCATGATGTGAATGTGACAACATCTGATTTATGAATACATATTCATTCTTGGAGGAATATGAACGTGCTAGTGGTAGTGAATATACCACACTCACCTCTAGAAGGAGGTTTTGAGATGATATAAGAAAATAATGTCATTATTATGGCATAAATGGTCATTGGTCACGTACTTATTGTACGCCAAAATATTTTGGCATTGTGATTATTAAAAGACAACGGTAATGCAAGAAACAGATCTTGCATATAATTTTGACCATACCCATAATGGTATAACTTTCTCTTTAAAAGAGATGTTCACCATATGGATGTTGATGAATATGTGGTAGTACCAAATTAATTGAGAGCTCTGGAAGAGCCAATTATTACTATTTTGGAGAAACACAATTAATTACCAATAAGATATTGTGTTGTAGTAAGTCTCAAAGAAACTTGTTTAGTATCTAAAGTATTCGCGAAAGCGGTTGGTTATATTGAGACTATAAATAAAGGAAAAATTTAATATCTTCTATTACTACAACTTGTAGCGGGATAATATGTATGTGAAAAGCTACCCGCTTCATTCTCCAATTTGTACTACATAAACAAAAGAATGCCACAATAAAAGGAAGTTTATTGATATAAAAACCCATATCATAATAAACTTGGAGTTTATTGATAATTGCACACGTCATGGTGTAAATCTGAAGTTTATCAATATTGATAATTTATTCAGTTGGCATAATTGGTTTAGCCATATCAATTTAAGTATGATGTGCAAATATGATAGAGAATTCACATGGGTAAATGTTAAAGAACTAGAATGTTCTTTACGAATTCTCTTATGTTGCTTGTTCTCATTAATTAATATACCAATTAAAATTGGGATTGAATCTCATGAATGCTGAAAATATCAAAGGTGAATATGGGCCCATTCACCCGCCATGTATACCACATAAGATGCATCTATGAGATGGTTACATGTGCAATTATTATTAACCCGCAACCTGGCCGGTGTGTGCGAGGTAACTTGCTCAATAATTTAATTTCGAGCATAATTTCCAGATTTTCTATTCAAGAAGTTAATCTTGATAAGTTGGTTTACATCACAGTTGGTTTAGCAAAATGATTTGTTAAGTGCTTCTACTTAATAGCTAAACAATTGCTTATGAGAACAAAGTTATCTATATCAGTTTGATATACGTTATATACCAAAGTATATTATTTTCTCCCCTCACAAGTGGTTCAGGGTCAGGAACCAAATAATTCCATCTTATTATTATTGATGTGCGATGTATATTTTGATTAACATCATAACGCACAAAGATGGATTCTCAAAGTTGAGGTACCAAGTTAGTTTTTCTAACACGAGGGGGAGACATGATAAATAGTTGAGAAAAAGTTACATGGAATGAATTATTATTTATACATCTCGATCCTCGAATAAGATAATATGAACTTGAAGTTCATAAAGGATAATTCATGTGCAATATATTGCAAAGCATGCCGGACGCATTTGCTGACCCAAAGAAAGTAACTATATTCTCATTGCAAATGCTCATATTAAGTCCTAGAAGGACAAAGTCTATGGTACGCTTAAAGCATATAGACAAATCGATTTCAAATAAACTTCATGATAAAGAAGATGAACAAATGATCAAAATGATCATAATAAAGGAGGCAAGTGATCTAGAAGATTACATGACATGACACTTCATAAAATCTCATGAGAGATTCAGGTACCTGAACATATTAATGAAGAGATCTCTATGTTATGTCTTTATGAAAAATAAGGAGGTTGAAACCGATATAAAATATCCGCCGACGACATCAAAAGATAGCGCTAAATATATATATGAGGATCTTAAGTCTGAAAAAACAATTCGAATAGAATTGGTTTCCTATGAAAGGCATGTAGTTCAAACACTTGAAAGTATGAAGCCAATGATATGTGCAATCAGTTTTCGATATCTTATTTGTCTAGCATGACATGAAAACTTGATATGCATCTAAAGTCTATTATATGGCTTATATAACTTAACAATCCCTGAATGATTTAAATTGCTTAAAGCATATAGAATTCATGGTCATGAAGTACTACATCCTCAATGCAATTTGTGCACAAATGTATCTTGCTATAACTATATGCATGATAATATGATAGCAAGAGTTTTCACCTCTATGTGAAGATATTGAACTGAAGATTCCAACAAGATCATACGAAGACAATTCATCTCTATCAAGAATGATGATTTCAAGGTGCAATATATTCATTCAAGTTATATGGCTGATTTATTTATCAAATCTCTACCAAAGATCTTTTGAAGATGGTGCACAAGATTGGAATGCAAATGCTTAAAGATGTGAATTGATGCTCTCATCAGGGGGAGTTAATGCGCGTTGCACTCTTTTTCCCTTACAAGGTTTTGTCCCACTGGGTTTTCCTTGCAAGGTTTTTAACGAGGGAACCAAAAGGCGTATTATTAGATATGTGTACTCTTTTTCCTTTTCTAGATTTTTTTTTCCCATTGGGTTTTCTTTTAGTTAAGGTTTTAACGAGGCACATTATCTGTTGAATAGACATTCAGGGGGAGTGTTATAAATAGAATTGTATTTATGGTGAATGTCTATATTTAGAGAGATTCTAGGGTTCATTGCTTGGTGGCTAAGTCACCCTCTCCCTATAAATAGAGGGTTCTATTCTATTATAATTCATCCCAAATCAATAAGAATTCTCTCTCCCTACTTTTCTCTGCAATACTCTTGTTCTTTATTTATTGTTTTATAACAAGGATCTTATTTTCATATTAATTTTATAAATAAAAAAAATGGGGAAAACCACTTCCTTACAAAATATTCATTTCTCATGGGCCAAAGGCCCAATAGAGCATTTCAAGGACTTAGGTACAATAGGCCCAAATCTCAAATCTGGGCCTAGTTTCTCTCAACTAGCCCCTTTCTTAATAGGAATTTTCATTATGTGCATTCTCTCCAAATGAAAATGACCACGAAAACGGTTGAGGCGGAGGCGGCGATGAGGTTGGAGACGACGGAAGTGGAAACGAATACGGAAATGGTGGCGGTGGCGACGGTGGTTGTTGTGCAACCGGAACCTGACCTTGTGTTTTGGTGCAAAAATTCTTGAGCGTAAACGGAAATAGCGGGCTTATCGGAAAAATCTTGGGCCAACAATTATCTTGAATGTCTATAACAGCTTTGCAACATTGAGGCCCAATAGAATGAAAATGAAATGGAATGAATAAAGAGCCAAATATTTCTTGAATACAACCTGGAGTATTTTTAAGAGCTGCTACACATTTTTCAGCCTCAGGCCCACCAAAACTCCAAGCAAATGGGCCAGTGTTACCAAGCCCACCTGAAAAGCCCGGCCCAAAGCCTTGGACGCCGACTACTACACGCCCGATACTCGGTTTAATCACGGTTAAAATGCATAAAACGAATATTACTTTCATGTTTATGAAAGTAATAACTCGAGGCATTTTATTTTAGGAGGAGAAAAGAAGAAGTTTAGTTATATTTTTGCCTCTAGAGCTAAGCTAATTTGGGTTTACTTCTCTTTTTAAGATGTGAAAATAACGTTATTAATCTTCATTAATAGCCTAGCTTTTAAGGTTGCAGTTTAATATAAGGTACTTTATGACATGTTTAAATGATCTGTACTATTAACGGTTATCATAATATTTCAGGCAGTTTAATTTAATAAACTTTATGACATGTTTAAATGTTCTAAAACAACTATTAACTGTTATCATAAATTTAGTACTCCATCCGTCCCTATTTATGTGACGGTGTTTGATTGGGCATGTATTGTAAGAAAAACAAGAGATATTTTTAAAACTTGTAGTCTAAAATAAGCTAAAAATTTTGTGTGACTATAAATCATCTCATTAAGAATAAACAAGCATTATAAAGTTAAATTGCTACTAGATATAAAAAATTGTCATTTTTTGGTACTGATCAAAAAAGAAAGAACGTCACATAGATAGAGACGGAGAGAGTATATTTAACTTACAGCCCCACATAAACGGGGAAATGATCTCCTATCCACAATTTCAATTTAAATATAAAGAAATGACACTTCAAAGATTGCAGTGTCACGACTCGGATTTCCCACCATCGGGAGTCGTGATGGCCCCTACTAATGAAAACTAGGCAAGCCAACCATTTGAATTATTTATCTTTTTCCCATTTAATCCCTTAACAATTAATAACCAACATTAAATAACACAGCGGAATTTAATAAGCGGAAGACTAAACATAATATATCAATAAGGATGCCAATACCAATCCATACATAAACTACCCAAGACTGGTGTCATAAACTACACAGACTGTCTAGGAGTACTAGAAATAAAGGTCTGAAAAAGTAAGTAATACAACTCTGTCTCTGGAAGTACATGAAAGAAACATGATAAAAGATAGAAGGAGACGCCAAGGCATGCGGACGCCTGCAGGACTACCTCGGGTCGCCTGATGAACTAGAAGCAGCAATTTCACTGCGGTCCGAAAGCTATAGTACCAGGATCTGCACAAAAGAGTGCGGAGTGTAGTATCAGCACAACCGACCCCATGTACTGGTAAGTGCCTAGCCTAACCTCGGCGAATTAGTGACGAGGCTAGGACCAGACAACCAAATAAACCTGTGCAGTTAAATCATATACAGCGGAAAATAAAGGCAGAAATTTTACAATTTAAAAGTAAGAAGGGGGAAGAGAGGCATGCTGCGGGGATATTAAGTAACAACAGGAAATAAATAAATAACCGTAAAGAACACCGTAACTCAAATATCAATCAATAACCAGGAAATCAAACAAGTGCGTGGCATCACCCTTCGTGCTTTTACTCTCGTCCTCACCAAATATCAATACAATCGGCACGGCATCATCCCTTCGTGCTTTTACCTCACATAATCATGGCACGGAATGATCCTTCGTGCATAATCATTCATATAAAGGCACGGAATGGTACATCGCGCGGCACAACATCACCCTTCGTGCATAAACACTCTCTCACAAAAAATAATACACGCCATCACCCTTCGTGCTTTAACACTCTTCCTCACCAAAACAATGCACGGCATCACCCTTCATGCTTTAACACTCTTTCTCACCTAAACAACAATTACAAACAATAAGGTCAAGGAAATAAATGAAATCACAAAAAAAAAAGTCACAATGAAGATCCTGGCAAGGGAACAATATCAAAAGAAACAACACCCCGGCAAGGAAACAATATTAAAAGAAACAACATACCGGCAAAAGAGCGATATTAAAAGAAACAACATCCCGGCAAGGGAACAATACTAAAAGTAACAACATTCCGGCAAGGGATCAATATTAAAAAAAACAACATCCCGGCAAGGGAGACGATATCATAAACATCTTCTCTTTTTCACATTTACTTCACCACTCAATTTACAACTTGAGCCAACGCTCTACTATGCTCAATTACCAATGATACTTTCACAATTCGATTCACAACTTGAGCCAACGCTCTACAATGTTCAAATACCTATGATACTTTCACAAATCAATTCACAGCTTGAGCCAACACTCTTAAATATTCAATTACTCAATTTTCTTCCTCAAGCCTTGTTCAACAATGGTAATATCACATAAGGCATGAACAATACAAAACGGAGTCACATTAATCATAGTATAAGACTCACGGGCATGCTTGACACCAACGTATAGATACTAGTCACCATGCCTATACGTCGTACTCAACAATTAACACATAGCAATTAGGACACGACTCCTAACCCCTCAAGCTAAGGTTAGACCAAACACTTACCTCGATGCCACAAACACAATTCAAGCCTCAACTACCGCTTTACCTCGTGATTCCACCACCAATTCGCTCGTATTTAGCCACAAGTTACTTAACTATATCAATAAATGCTAAATGAATCAATTCTAATGCATGAAAAATAGATTTTCTAGAGTTTTTCCCAAAAAGTCAAAAATCGTTCCCGGGCCCACATAGTCAAAACCCGAGGTTCGAACCAAAATCCGATTACCCATTCACCCACGAACTCAAACATATAATTTGTTTGAAATCGGACCTCAAATTGAGGTCCAAATCCCCAAAATTTGAAAAACCAAGGTTCTACCCCAAACACCCAATTTCCCCCATGAAAACCATTGATTTTGAGTTGAAATCATGTAAAAAGATGTTAAAGATTGAAGAAACGAGTTAGAAACGACTTACAATCGATTTGGAGAAGAACTTTTCTTTGGAAAATCGCCCAAGAGAGTTTATGTTTTGAGAAGATATGAAAAATGGTTGAAAATACGTCTAAGTGTCAATTAACTGGTCTCTGATGCCGCAATTGTGACCAGGATTCGCAATTGCGAACCCTTCAGAACCTACTGATTTGCGACACTACCTTCGCATTTGCGATAATTACATCGCATTTTCAATTAAGGCAGCCCAGGCCAAAATTCGCATTTGCGACACATTGCTCGCATTTGTGAGCCAGGCTTCGCAAATGCGAAGCCTGCAGGCCTGCAACACACCAGCAATTTCTAAATGCAAATTTCACTCCATGGCCTATCCAAAACTCACCCGAGCCCTCGGGGCTCCAAACCAAAAATGCACACTAACCCAAAAATATCATATGGACTCGCTTGTGCATTCGAATCACCAAAATAACATCAACAACTATCAATTTAGCATCAAAATCAAGAAAATCTCAAGAACTTTCAAAGTTTCAAATTTTACAACTAAGGTTCCGAATCACGTCATATGACCTCCGTTTCTTACTAAAATTTACAGGCTCAACTTAAATTACATATAAGACCTGTACCGGGCTCCGGAACCAAGATACGAGCCCGATACCATAAAATTTCAAACACATTTCATTTTCAAAAACTCATAAATATTCCAAAAAACAATTTTCTTTTAAATTAATGCAAACTATACTTGGCTTAACCTCAATGCAAACTACTCAAATTGCATTTGAATTCAAATTAATATCATATGAGTTTGTTAGTGATAGTGATCTTTTTAAAACGATACACAATGCAAAAAAAAAATAAATATATATTCTAAGATATCCTTATCTTATAATCTATGTATTTGAGTTGAAAAAAATATTTGAAATTGATGAGATCGGCTTCCAAATTTTTTTTACTCAACAAAGATGAAACATAAGAAGAATCGCTATCATCTCTTATTTCTGATATTTAGATTTTTCATAAATTTTTTCTTTATTTATTATGTTTTATCTTATTTTTATGTCTTTCTTTCTTTAGTTACAAAAAATTAATTTATTTCGTTATAAAAGGATGAGTTTTAATACAAATTATCTACATAAGAACTTTATTTATATTTTTAGTCTTTGGTTGAAATTGTTTCATATTTTTCTTTTGGCTTTATCTAATCAACCTAAATACGTGCTCACCCAACCACTTCAATTAAAAAATTAAAGGATGTGTAATATATATATATATATATATATAATTCATATATAATATGTGTATAATTGTGTGTTATCGGTATATCATCTAGGTATATTAGCTATAAAAAATAAACAATAAATCTGGGCGAATATTTATGTAAATATTCCATAAGATTTCGGTTTCTTAATCTTATCCATGATATGACTTCTATTACAATAATTTTAAAACTTTCTACTAAAATTCAAAAATACCTTAATCTTTTTTATTTTTAAAATTGCATTATATTTGAAAAAATAATCCCATTTCCAAATAATTTGCTTACATTTAAAAAAAAAAAAAATTTCACTTCATACCAATTTTTATTTTTTTAAATTATACTTTTTGTTAAACTAAAATTTCTTTTCTATTATAGTTTAAATTCAATAACTTTATGTATAAATTCAAAATAATCCTTATATATATATATTAATTTGTATTTGACTAACATAGTCAAATATAGAATAAAGTTACCATATACTATTGGCATTTATTAGCTTGCCACTTGGCTTAACCACAATGCCAATTATATATAATAATAACTTTATTCCTTAAATATATATATATAGATATATAGATTACCTTGTGTGAGAGAAAAGCTTGACTGTTTCTCTGCTAGGTGTATATGATAGAAGGAAAAAAGAAAAAAAAAGTTACCTCGCTCGTCCCAAATTCATTTCTTAATTGGTTAATTTTGTTTGTCAAAACATTAAACATTATCTTCAGATTTTGTTAAATTTTCGTCGTCTTAATTCGTGAATTAGGGTTTTAACTTTGAAACTTTAGGTCAAACATGACAGTGAAAATTTGATCACGTTGACTAGCAATGTCGGCTTACGACACGTAAGATGAGACGGAGTATTCATCTTGGATCTTATTACTTAGACATGCAATATATTTAGTAGGCATTTGAACATAAAATTATATTATTTTTGAAAAAAAAAACTAGTATTTGAATTTAAATTGAAATTTTTTATTTGGAATTTGAAATTATGTTTGGACATGCATTTCACGTGAAAAATTGTTGCAATTTTGTCAGTGAGGAATTTCTGAAAAACTTGAAAA